TGATAAGGGATTAGGGAGTCGGATGTATGGTAGTTAGGACAATAGTTCTTTGAGAATAGAGATTGAAAGAAGTATACTAGTAAAAGCGGAAGCTTTAAGTATAACTGGGAGATTGTTGATGTATATACTGAAAGCTTGGCCTTAGATGTATTTACACTGAACACGTTTGAATGAGAATCATCTTTAATTAGACAGTCTATGTTCTGTTGTTTTGCATTTAGATAAGATGAGTTGTCATCGGGCGAACAGAAGATCATTTTACAGTCACTTGCAAAACAAGAATCGTTGGTTCACAACCTAGATGGAAATGAATAACCCATCGTGAACGGTTGTAGTGTTAACTGTACAATTGGTCTTGACTGATTAGTTACACTAGTACACTTTGTGTATTGAATGGATCCCAGAGAGGAGAAGTTCGTTTTAAACTTATTGTCGTAAACGAACAAGGCATCGGTTAATTACTGCGTACTCTTAACCCGTAAGATGTAAACATGCATGTGCATGCAGTAAATATTACTTTGATTCACTTGGGTGAGATTCAGTTTACTGGATCGATATACTTATTGTTTTGGGTAATATTATTGTATGTATGATGTGTTGTTACAATATTTACGGTCACCGTGTGCGATAGTTTGATAATGTCCCCGAGATGAGCTCATGAAGGATTATTATGTTAAATCTGGCCAGTGGAATTTATTCCGACATAATAATGTGATGAGTGGTACTAGTCTCGGTTATAGATGTCGATTAATTTAATTGTCAGTAATTAAATTAATTGATCGACATTATATCTTAAACACAAGGAGATCAATCAAGTAATTATTATTGGAGACTCGAATATAATTCAGGAATTAAATTGAGAGTTTATTCAATAATACTACTTTAGTAGAGTGGATGTATTATTCCTATTTGGGTTTGGTAGGCTTGGCCTATAATCTAATCCTAATAGGAAAGCCCAATTTAATACCTCCTCAGGGTCCCTATTATAGCCTATAAATACATCACATCTCTTGGGATTAGGAGATTCAGATTAGACAGATGAGATTCACGTCAGAAGCAGATACACGCTGTTTCTCTCTCTGTTCTCTCTCTTGTGTTCTCTCTTCTTCTTCTTCTCTAAGTAATCCCAGTAGAGATATCTCCGATTTATCGCCCACCAAGATGATGGGATGCGATGTCGGGTCATACTAAGAAGATCTGAGGTTGTCGAGTGATCTATATATATTTATCCAACCCCGTAATGTTTCTGTAACTCGCAGGGTTGTCCGTTCTTCACGAAAGGCAAGAAATATGCCAACCGGATATATTGGAGTTGATCGGCGACCGGCGACCCTCCGGTCACATTCCGACGACCAGCCGCCACCGGACGCGCCGGTGCCGAGAGCTCACGCGCCCTCACGCGCCACCACATCCCGCCTGAGGAATTCACGCGCCGCCCAGGCAGGCGCTGGCCCGTTTGCGCGTAGCCCACAGACGCCCAGCCCACGTTCATGCGGAGCCCAGGTGATGGGGAAGGACGAAGCGCGCGGCCCAACATCGCAGGCCCAACACGTGGAGGCCCAATTCGATGCAACCCAGTGGAAGAGGGAGAAGAGTGTGTGGGCCACTCAGCCCGTGTTCGGCCCGCGCGCAGCCTGCACGCCTCACAACCTCCAGCCCGCGCGGGGCCCGACCTCAGCACGCGCATCAGCCCGCTTTCCTCTCAACCTGGCCCGCGTGAGAGCCCGCATCGGCCTGCGTCCATCAACCTGCTTCAGCCCAAGTCCCAGCGGCCCAAGAAGCGTGTGTCCAGCCCAGTTCGTGATCCAGCAAGCCAAGCGAGTTCCCAGATGCGGCCCAGCGCGCTGACATCCTTCCAGACCGGCCTAGAGTGTGCAGAACCGACCCAGCTCGCTCCCAGCTCATCTGGTTCGTGTCCAGGCAGTCCAGCTGGTTCGGAACGATCTGGTGAGTCCGTAAAATTTAAAAAAATGGTACACTTTGAATCCTCGCTTCTAGTTCCACTGCGCTTAGGGCATATTATCGAGATCCTCACAGATCCCAACACAATCAAGTCCTCTTGTGAATTTTTTTAGCCGGAGCCATCAAGCACCGACAAACGTAGAATTGCTCGACTCTCTTATGCGAGGCCGGTCAAAGGGATTTCCAGCTTCGTTTGCTCAGTCAGTGGCAATTCGGACAATCTGGTTCACATTCTTTCATGGGTTCTCGTCCTCCAATATCCTCAGCCTTATGTAACTCCAATGATGGAACAACAAGGATGCACTCACGAGCTTCCCTTTAGTCCCAGTAGTGGACTCCGAGCCAGTCCACAGTTAGAAACTTCAAGGAGTAGTGAGAATGAAAACTACAACTCGGAGTTTGTACAAAACTATCCTCCCGAGGATGGCGTTGTACTCGTTCTTTCTTATGATGATCTTGAATGTTTCCAAAATGGTCTTCGAGGTCTGTCCCTCTCTTCCAAATCGTATAGCCAAAATGATCTCCCCTTCGGGTAACCTAACCATCGAATCCTTAGATTTAATCATTGCAAGGACGGATCTCTTTGGGGTCGATCCCCATTTCTTGAATGTGCTCAAGTACAGAACACTCCCATGTCCACTGTATGTCCTCCTAGTGTACGCTTAGTTTGCCTCCTAGAAACACTCATCTCCCTCTTCTTCCCCCTTAGTGTTGATGGGCTGCCATGATGGTATTCCCCAAGCTTGTGGTCGGTCTGCTCGGGGCCCCTCTAGAGACGAACTCTGAGCATGCTTTCTAGCTCAGGAGGAGCTAGCTTCTTGCAGGCCCCAGCCAAAAGTTAAGATTTCTGGTGAAGGCCTCTTCGGGTTTATCTCAGCGTCTCCATCTTTCTCGTAGGTTGGGCCCTCCTCAGCCCGACCTCTCTTCCTTCCTTTAGAATATTTTGTAAACTTCTTCACTCCCGGATCTCCTATCAACTTCAGTAATGCATAAATCAAGCTAAAGCACTGGTCGGTGTTGTGTCCAATTGATTTGTGGTATGCATAGTTTCTCGACCTGTCCAATTGGCTTTCATTTGTTTCAGGTCGGGGATGATCCCCTTGTTCTTCAACTCTTTATACTCGGTCACAGCACCAGCTGAGTAAAAACTTCTGTAGTTGGTCATCAGCTCCTCTTGGTATTGCTTTCTCTTGGCAAGTCGTGTGTCCTTCGCCAAATCCCGGCCTATTTTTGTTTTCTTTCCTTTTGTGTTGGAGCTACTTGGTAGCTCAAAGGTCGGGATTGACATGGATTCTTTCTCAATAATGTTCTTCTGAGCTCAAGCCAAAAACTCGCGGTACGTCAGCAGTTTACTCTGACATAATGACCACTTGAACATCGTGTTCGGATTTAAATACGAGAAAGCTGACACTAGTAACGTCTCCTGATGGCAAGATTCCACATTTTGTACACGTTGAATCGAGCGACATAATCTTTTAGACTCTCCTCAGCTCCTTGCACTATGTTTGTGATCAACTCCTTGGTGATCATGCTTATGGGAGTAGAGAAGTGAGATAAGAATGCTAACCTCAATTACTGCCACCTTCGAATAGAATGGTTCGACAACAAGAGGTGCCACTCTTGTGCTTTGGGGCCAAGCGTAGAGGATAATATCCGACATATAAGGGCACCCCCTGCCCCTTGCAAATCCATCCATGAGATATAATGACTGAAGTGGACGTCGGGGTCAGAGTCGCCATCATACAGTCCGATCTGAGAAATTTTTATCCTCTTAAGGAGGGGATCTAGTAAAATCTCCAGTGCCAATAGAGATTCCGTGTCGACCACCGAGCTTCTCATGCTCGTTGGTGGTGGAGAGGTCTTTCTGTAGGCCCTTTTATTGCCGAGTTTCAGATGTCAACACACATGCTCAATCCAACTGGTTCTTGGTCCAATTTTGTGCATCTTAAAAGAACGTCGGTGATTTTAATAATTCTCACTTCCGACTCTCTCTTTCTTCCGCCTAAAAGAGAAAAACTCAGATCCAAAGTCAAGCTGCATCCCCTCCCCCCTCCATTTCTCCTGTTGAAAACTACAACTACCCTGTCCGGCCATGGCCGAGGTCGGAGGATCCCCCCTCGCGTGGGGTGGGTTGTCGCTGTGCCACCGCACCTTCCTCTCTCGCTCGGGTTGGGCCGTCGCCCGGTGTTTCTTCCTCCGCCCTCGTGCCGGCCGGGATTCTTCTTCTTGGCCGCATGTTCGTCTTTTCTGGCTGGAGGCTCCCTGTGGCGGAGTGACCTTTCACGGCCTTGGCACCACCACTGTCTTCCTTCGTGGCGGCCTTCCCCTCGGCGTTGAAGAACTTTGGAGCTTAGATTTGTACTGAGATTTACTCCTCGTCAGATTAGTCTACGCGGTTCGAGTTCCGCCACAGTTTTTAGGTCTGGGGTATCGGTTTGTAGCTCTGTCGAGATTCTGTATTGCAGAGTGAGTGTCGGTTTGGATGGTCGTGTGGTTTGCGTGCTAGGTTTAGAGGTAGTCTTATTATATTTATTTGTTAGGTGTGCGTTGTTTTTGTTTCTTTTTTTCGTTTTGTTAGCCCAACTGCGTCTTACTTTTATTCTTCTATATGAAGTTTGTATCTCCTTTATGAAATTTTTGTCTGAAGATGTTTGTGTTTCCTTTATGGAGTTTGTACCCCTTTATCACATATGTAATTCCAAAGATGGTTGATCCAGACATAGTTTTGGTTCCAGTGGTGTCTATTAACACATCAGTTGTACTCTTTTGAGTTTTAAATTATTAATATAGTTACAGTATATAAAAAAAAAAAAAATCCAACCCGTTTTACAATCTTGTACGCTTAGTGCCTATAAATATAAATAAACTAAAAGTAGTGGAAAGTTCTAATCTTTCTTTTAGTAGAGATTTTGCATTGCTAGTGGTATTTTCTTGTCCTTTTTTCAAAGTTTAGAAATTCAGATCACAAATATTTGAAAACTTTTACCTCCAACCAAAGGCCAAGGAAGTCATTTCACTCTTATCTTCACCTTAATAATCTTTAATTGAAATCCACTTCTCATCTTTTCCCACTCTTCTAAGTTTCAAATTTTTCTCAACTTCTGTCAACTAACGCCGTTATTCGTATAACTATAAACTCGCTCGATGAGGTAAATCCCATTGTCCCAACGCCATATAACTATCACACACGCTGGGCTTGGAGAGGTAAGGAACTCGGGAATTCCAGAAAACAGCAGAAATTCAAAGCATTCAAACTCGAAATCCATTCGTAAGCTTTTTCCCCACATTTTGATCTCTGTGTTGCTTTGTTCACACACGCAAGCACGCAAGCACGCAATCATGCATATATTTTTCATCAGAAATGTATGCCTATATGTTTATGAACACATGTATCCTGATCTGATTTCAAGTTGTTAATGGGGATAGATCTAACAGAGTGGTTCTTGTATTGTTATTCATTCCACTTAATTCATTATCATTTTTGCTTTTCGGATTCTGTGCATATTTTAAAGTCGGTCAATTGAATTGTGTAGTGATGTTAATATTCATCGACCATGATAAATAGAACTGTGCTTTTTTTCTTATCGATTCACTTTTTGTGCCCACACTGTTAGTATCGTTTTTGTGGCTGTGCTAAAACTTACCGCCCCTTGAGATGTGTGCGAAAAGTTTAATCATTTTTGCTTAACTTGTCTTGATGGTTAGATATGTTAAATTTTGGGGTATGGAAATTACTTTTATCTTCTCAAATGATTTAGAGTATTATATCATCCAGTATCGAGTTATGCATATACTAATGAGAGAGAGAAAGAGTTAAAACACACGAATGACCACTTTAAAGTTCTTCAATATTGATGTTCAAGGTAACACCCTGATTTAGGCAGTTATCTTATAAGATTGTCAACATTGACGGCACTCGATGTTTGTTAATCGACTTGCTCAATACATATTTGCTTCTTGACTCAGTAATAATATGGGGCTCGAAGGTGTTGAAACTCATATTGACAAGGAGCTCGATGGTATCATCATTTATTCAAATGGCACTCATCCTGAGCACCCACTGAATGAGAATTCCGAAATAAAGCATTATGAAAGAAAAGAATGCGACGTTGAAAGTCCAGATGAGGTTACAAAACTCTGTCAAGTTGAGGCACATGAGCAGGATGTTCCGAGCCTCAATCATGGTGAAATGAACCTGTTAGGGGAAAGCGTGAGGAATGACGATATAGTCATAGTTGATGACGATAAGACGAGAGGTTGTGTTGAAAAGACTGCCAAATCTGCCGTTGGTAACTGCAGAAACAAATGCACAGTGCCACAGCCATTTGCACTGGCAACTGAAAAACGGGCATCAATTGAACCCCGTCTCTGTGGGACTGAGTGTGATAATACAGAAACAGGAGATAAGTTGCCAAAAGTAAACCTCTCACTCCCTTCTATAGATTTTTCTGGTGCATTCTAAGTATCATTCGATGACAATATGCGTTGATGCCTGTAATTTTATTTTATTGTTTTTTCGTTGTCTCTCTCTCTCTCTCTCTCACTCACATAAATGTGCTCAAGTCTAGTATCTATGAGTTTGCATGATCGGAGGCCATTTTCTAGTAGTTGCTGAAATTTTAGTTGTTCTTTATTTCCAACTTCTTTAACGTTAGGTAATTAAATGGACTTGATGTTTATGATCTTTCACATATTATTAATCTTTCACTTGGGAGAAAATATTCAGATCCTGTTCGAATAGTGAAACAGCTGCTTTTACTTGGTGGATGATAGACCCATGTCTCTTTCAGTCTTTCTTGATTTTTTTTATTACGTTATCTTAATTATGATCTTGAGACCAACACATTGTGGACTTATGTGCATAGCGCAAAAACCAAAAAAGGCTTGAACGAGATACATAAAGTCATGGTATATATTTCTCTATGGAGTGATTCGTTTGAGCATCTTTAGCAACTTGTGAACTACTAATCCTCATGTCATTCACCATCTTTTTGTGCAGAAATTCTCACCTGTTTTACAAAGAAAGCCATTGCAACCTACTAACAAGAAGCACCCTGATGAAGATACTTGTTCAGTTGCCTCATTGTATCTTATATATGTCTATATACAAATATATAATAATAGCTTCTCTTCTCTTATACCGACTAATCTTTACCTAATTTGAGATTCTCTACGGCTTTGGTTAGTAAAATCAAGTCAGCAATTGTTGCTTCAGCTCCTGTGTTTAAGAGCACAGAACGTGCTGAGAGGAGGAAGGAGGTAGCCTTTGTCATTGTTATTATAACTTCTGAACACTTTTTTGTCAGGTTAAGCGAAATTGAATGCGATTCTGTCTTCTTATTTGAACCATTGGATCTATTTCAGTTCTTCTCAAAATTAGAGGAGGAGCATCAAGCGTTGGAGGCAGAGAAAACACAATGTGAGGCCAAGACTAAGGTAAAAGTATACTTTCAGTACAAAAACATTTGTACATATTTGTTCAATAGTATGACCATTATAATATTTGTGTAGGAAGCATTTTTCGATCTTACTCTGATTCTTGATGCTTGTAGGAAGAGGCTAAGGCAGCAATCAAGCAACTAAGGAAGAGTTTGATGTTCAAGGCGAGTCCAATGCCCAGCTTCTACCATGAGGGCCCACCTCCCAAGGTTGAACTCAAAAAGGTACTACTTTTCTCTAAGGGCTTCATTTCGGTTCGAGAAATTTCGAAATGTCAGTTTGCATTACCTTTAGTGGGGAAGAGGTCAAATTCCTTTAACCCCATGTACAGTAATATTTTTTGCACTTTGCTCACTCAACTTTTCTTCTTCCATTTTACTTCATTTTAACCTTTTGGACACAACAAATAGTGCTAATGACACTTGTCTGAGGTTGAAGGGGAAAATTGGAAACAAAGTTCAGCGGTAAGTGTGTAAAATGCAAAAAACAAACTTAATGGGAGAAATGTGAGCCAAGCTAGTGTAAATTAGTTAATATGAAATGACTATAGTGTTCTGGTAATTAGTGAGTGAAAAAACTGTTATCTTTATGCTCGTATGCCTTTCTAAATGTAGCTGCCTCCAACTCGTGCAAGATCACCAAAATTGGGACGAAGAAAGACTTCTCGTGTTGAAAAAGTATCAAGGAAGGCAAACAACGAGGCTCGTGAGAGTTTCGCAATATTCAGAGACAGTCCATCTGTTGCATCCACAAATGGGAAATTTAGAAGTAATGCAAGAAATGGTAATGCTTCATCCAAAACTGGGGAACTACCCACCAAACAAGGACCAAAAATGGATAAGGTTTTCAAAACAAATCCGATTGAAGAGAAACATGCAAATGTTGATGTTAATTCATGATGAACTGTTTCCTAAGTTATTTGAAATTAATAGTGTAAAGAAGTTAATTTTATGTGGTGAGCTTATACAGCAAACTCTATTGCGTGGATTGTGTAAATTAATTTGTTCCGAATTTCTTTTAGCTAAAAATATTTAAAAACTTGCATCTTGCTGTAATATACATTCCTTTTGTTCTGGAAAGTGGTTGGCCATTATTTTGGATTTACATGGTTTATTTAGTTTTCTTGCAAAAATTACCAGTATTTGAAAATTATGGTAATTTTTTCATTTCACTTTAGTAAATTGGCAGTGTGGGTTGTGAAGGACTCCTGATATGTTTGGGGCCATTAGAAACCTTTATGGACTAGCAACTTAAAGCTCTTGAACAAGCCAATATTGATTCAGCTATTGTTAGCATTTTCATTTTTATTTTATTCAACCAATAGTGTGATATTCACTTTCATTTGGAGCACAGACCAGTTAGTTCTGTGGCACACTCAAGTATTTGATGCTTACCAGTAGAAGACAACAGTTGAATCAGTTGAAAGCAATCGTTATGAAATTGATAGTTATATGATTTGCAATCAGATAATCTAAAAATTCCAAACTATATTTTTATGTCCTGGCTAAATCGTACAAATCAAATGCAAAAAATATCATTCAAACCATAAAAATATTTTACTCTGCCAAATTTTAGTTAATTAATTCTTTATTGCTTTTGTTTTTGGACAAACTTTTAACCCCTCACAGTACTTAATTACTTGATTTCCAAGTTTGGAATTACTCTTATATGGAGCAAATGGTCATTGGATTAAAGTGCTCTGCTTCCCAGCTTTTTCCTACTAGGGAAAGCCTAAATTAAGAAGCTACACTTCAAAAAATAATCATTTGCAAGTTCATAGTAATAAAAGCAAACTATTTAATGCTCTAATAACTAATAAGCAATAATATTTTCACTTATATATAACTCCACAAAATGGCAGTTTTCACTTATTGTGTGTGATGAAATGTTGTGGGGAATGCTGTCTGGTTCGAGACTGTACTTTCTTCATTAGTACGTACATACGGATGATCAGTTTCGGACCAGGCTTCATTCCCCTCAGCTTTTCCGAAGCTTTTTTAGTTTTGCCGAACAACAAACTCCTCAACTACATACATATCCTCATTTTAAGGTATGGCTTTTTTGTTACTATTGTTGTTTGTGTGTGTTTTTCTTGCTTTTGTTTTCATTTTTTGGTCTTTTCAATCTCATGGTGCTTTACTTTCTATATCTACATGTTACTGAACCTGTAGATATAGTTATTTCTTCTGGATTTTCAGTAAGAATGGATATATATTGGTGTTGGTCATAACAAAATTTTAGAAGTTCTTTTTGTAGAATTATTCTGAAAGTAAACTTGTGATAACAGTTTGCCTTCAGATTAATTAGAGTTTCTGCATGCATATCTGTGAAGAAAAATGGAAAAAAAAATTAATATATATATATATATATATATATATATATATATATATATAAGAAAGAAAGGTATAATCACTTGGCGACACGTTGCATTTTCAGTCCAGTGTTCATTGATTTCTTTAGTGCATTACCTCATATTTCACTTTAATCTCAATGGCTGATGTAATATATTGACATTGTTTTGTATATATAAATGGGTGACTATTAGATATAAGGGAGAACAAAACTGCAAAGTGAGTTTTTATCTTTTTTAGTGGACTTTGCTTGCATAGATTAGCAAGGAATATAATGGATTTGAAATTTTTTACTTTTAGTATTATTGCATGGATTAATTATATCAAGGACTATTTTTTATTATTTACACTACAAGAAAATAATGAAATTCCAACGGAAATGTATTTAAATAGAATTCCAATGATATTTCTAATGGATATTTTCAATGCTACTATCCCCGTTGAAATTTTTCAATAGATTTCAACAAAAATTCCAACAAAAAATTTTCGTTGGAATGAGTTTTTCATTGGAATTTCCATTGGATTTTGACGATTCCACCGGTAGATTTTCCAACGGGGGCGGAAATGAAAATTCCAACGGAAATTCTTACGGTAAAAAGCTGTTGGAAAAATAGTCGTTGGAATCATTAAATTCCATCTAAAATTCCAATAGAAAACACATTCCAACTGAATATTTTTGTTGGAATTTTCGTTGGAATGATTCTAACGGAAGCTATATCATTGCAATATCCATTAAAATTTCCAATGAAATAAATTACCATAGGATATTTTGTTGAAATATAACAATTTTTTTGTAGTGTTACAAAGAATTTATCTGTTTACGCCTCATAAACTAGTGCCATCATAACACCCCTTAATATTGGATCCCCTTATTTAACTTTTTACTATTAGAAAGTGAATGTTGAACTATGACTTGGCTTTTAGTTTTTCATTTTAAAGTTCTTCTCACTTACCACAATTTACACGTTGGCCAATTATAGAATGTGGAATTCTGTTTATATAGGTAATTGATCGTTTTTTTGTTTTTTGTTTTTGCATATAATTAGTTTTCCTCTACTTTAAATCAGGTAGACTGTCCAAATACTACAAAGATTAATTATTTTAACTCGCATTATTATAGATTCTCAGAAGAGAGTTGTCCCCATCCATTTCATGGGATCTTT